AGTAAGAGGAAATTACTTCTTTCTCTCAGAAAGTAACTTCAGCCCAAGATGCTGATTGATGGTTTATTTAAGTTTGATAAGGAGCTAAAATTCAGGTGAAGTGTTTTTTTTTCAATGAAACGCAAAGATTTTCATCATCTTTTCAAGGCTTTATTGTGAATTTCTGTATTCCAGACACAAAATACAATCAGTTGTTAGATAAATGTAAATAAACAGTACATGATGATGCAACAATACAGCAGGTCAGAGAGGTCATGGGATCCCAAAACCATCAGTCCTGTTTCCCACACACGACCACAAACAAACAAATAAATAAGAGGTAAGAAAATTCAAATCTGCACTCGTCTAAGAAATTGAAAGGGTGGGTGGCTGAATCGTCTGGTTGTTAAAGATTTTTCTTTTGGCCTCAGCCTCGGCCTCTGCTTCATCCCTGCTAATTCAATGTACGCAGCACACATCAGCTCTCACACACACACACACACACACACACACACACACACACACACACACACACACACACACAACATATATTCAAACAGCTCTGCTTTAAAAGATTACAGAGATTACACAGGAATTACACTATCAAAGTCAGTGAACCTGTATCGCCTCAACCCCACTTGCAAGTGTACATTTACTGGATTGGATACAACTGGTGTGTGTGTGTGTGTGTGTGTGTGTGTGTGTGTGTGTGTGTGTGTGTGTGTGTGTGTGTGTGTGTGTGTGTGTGTGTGTGTGTGTGTGTGTGTGTGTGTGTGTGTGTTCATTTCTCAGAGACCTGCAGGTTAATCTCCCCTCAGGCTGCACTGCCGTAGTGGCGCACTCTGCTGGAGGGGACAAGAAGAGCAAGACAGGAAGACATGAATGCACAGCAGGAAGTTTTAAAATCTCACTCAGCACTGTTTCCTGTCGTTGATGCAACTTTATTTAAACACATATAAGAAATGTAATTAAAACAATGACATTTCTTAGATGCTGCTGCATGATTAGGAACATTTTTACTACTTTATTGAATGAATTTCCCCTCAAAAAAACACCTTTTTTGTAGTTTTGACCACAGAAAATAAATACAATCTCCTAAAAGCAACATAAGCACACACTATCTGCGAATACATAGTTAGTTTTAAAAAAATCAGTGACCAAAAATTAAAAAGCAAAACAAAAATTAGGAATAAACAAAACAAAAACACTAATTTGACTCTGTTTCATGTGGATTTTAAGTTTGCATCTTGCATTAATCATAAAATATAGTTTTATAAATAGATTAGATCAGTTTTGGCACCTAAAATTTCTAATTACAACAAAAAAAGTTGATAAACCTCTTAAAAACCACAAATTGTTGCAAGAAAAGGCCCGTTTGCTGGCAAGATTAAAATGGTGTTGGTTTTAAAATCAAAAAGTGATGAGACATAAAAGAAAAATTAGGCTCAAATGAATAATTTGCTATTGAAACGCTGCTTCCCACCAACCAAAACATATTACAACTGTCATTTCTGTGTCCTAGCTTCAAGAGATGATCCACAAATCAATTTAGAAGCAACATTGCATCCACAATAAGCAAGAAGCTACACTCCTGTCAAATCCAATGAGCATGATCCCCCAATATTTAATTTATCCACAGATGCCAGTTTTTCAGTTAGAGCCTCAACATGCATGTGAGATTAATCCAACTCTCAGAGATCCGTTTAACTCTTGCACTAAAGCGCAAAATTCAGAGAGCCCGGAGCCACTTCTAAAGCAATAAGGCACATATGTCAGCAGGATTTTATTTTGAAGCCCTGCAGAAGGATTTAAATGCACGTGAAATCCCACAGACACAATGGAAGCTGTCTGAGAAAACAGCAAAAACTAAAATTTCCAACAATCTTTTGCGTTTTCTAATTGGAATTTCCACGTGCAGGATCTCACGAGGAGTTGATGAAAACCTCAAAGTTTTTGATTGTTTCGCCTCAATCTGGATGGGAAACGCAGTCAGAAAGACTTTTAGCTTCCGTGTGATCTTCAGCAGCACCTCAGAAACTCCTGAAAAGAGAAGTTAATGAACATCGATCGACGCGCACAGACACGCGCACATGCAGCAGGCTCGCGCTAATCCAACAGCTGCTGGAGTTAAGTTTTCCAGATCAATTCTACAGCTTCGGTTCTGTGATCGTTTATTAAAATTACTGTTAATCATTCAGCGCAGGACAACATTCATTGATGGCTTGGATTAAAAAAAACAGAAGAAGAGTCCTCAAACATCGTTTTAATTTCATGTGTTTGTTTTTTTAAAGCTGCATGAAGGAAAAGACGCCACTCTGCTGTTTTATTATAAGAAGGTCATGCATGCTTGTTTGTTATCTGCGGGATTATTAAGTGGAGTCCGTTGGAAGCAGATTGGCCTTTTCTTTGCGGTTTTCGCAGCAGATGACACGTGTCTGACCTGGATTGAACTCCTGGAGCTGACTTCGGGATTAATTAGGAAAACTGCGGCGAAACAACCCGAAGATTGCAGGTAAAGGGTGGAGGTCCTGCACTTCTCATCTGTAAGTCCTGCAGCTCTAACGGGGTGGGGGTGCAGGGGGCGTTACCCAGGGGGAGATAATTAAAATATAATAGCAGCTGACGTATTTCATGTGGTTTTAATCCAGACTTTTGGGTGTTTTAACCCTTTAAGGGTCCGACCACCTGTTCTCCCCCTCACCTCACGCGCTGCATGAAGGGAAATTAATTTGAAGACGTAAACAAGCCGTGACGCGTCCCCCCCCCCCCCCCCCCCCCCCCCGCGCGAAAAAAAGTAAATCCCCACAATTAGCAGATCCATATTAGCATATTAACCTGTGCTTCCTTCCGAGGCGCATCTTATATGTAGGTCAGACCGTTTTCTTAATTACTTTTTCATTAAACTGATGGAGGACAAACATGTTTTCTGGGGGTGGTGTCAGACGTTATTTTGGCTGGAAAAGGTGGCAGCACCGACTTAACGGACGCTGGCGGCCATATGAGGCCGGTGTCTGACCGGGAGGCTGATTAAAAACCCACAACAGACTCGTAAACAAGGCCAACATGTGCGCGCGCAGGCTGGAAGCGTCACGCAGCAACGTTAAAGAAAATCTTTACTCTCATTTTACCTCAAGACAAACTCTCTAAGCGGATCTGAGTCTCTGACACAACATCCTTAAAGTTGTTTAAAAATCCGGCCTACATGGGGATTACACGGCAGTAATAGGCCAGATTAAATGGCTGCAGGCTATAATCTATTATGGATAACTTGTGGCTCACTCTTTAAACCATTCAGGTCTGATAAACGTGATCTCGTGGTTCTCTTCTGGAATTGGTGCTTATTTTAAAAATTTGCACATTTAAAACAGAACAAGTCTGAGTCATGAAATGACAGTTTCCAAACATGGTGCGCCTCGGGCCCTTTAGTGGCAGCAGGGTGGACTCACATGAATTTAAATGTTTTTAAATGTGGGGTTTTCCATCAAAAGTTGCTTTTTTTCTAAACTGGTTGAAAATGAGCGGCTGCTGTCAGAGCTAAATGAGTTTAACTACAATTGGTGGGAAATTAGTAAGAGACCCTAATTCCGCATGTTGGATCATTTGTTCTCATATTCAAGTCCTAATTAATGTAAACTTGATTTTGACCAATAAAAGAAATACGTTTTTTATTATGTATTTTAATTTGAGACATTTGTTATAGGATAAAAGTAAAATGTACTAATATTAAGTTAACAATAAAGAAGTTAAATATATAGAATTTTTTACTTTACCTATTTTTGGTTTTATAAATTTCATTTCATTCAGATACTAAATTATGCTTTAAGATGTTATTTTCTGTGTTTTTAACCTTTTAATTTTTGAGTTTTCGTTGTTTAAAACAATGTGGTTGGTGAAATTACAAAATTCATAATCAACTTATGACTCATAGGAGAATCTTGTTTTACTTCCTGCTGTGACGACACGCCCCTCCTACCCAAAACCTCGGGGCTGATCTGAATTCGCCTCTGGGCTTTACTGTCCCGGGTTTCCGGGCCTTTCTCTGCCTGGTCGGGCGGCAGATGGACCGGTTCCCGTCCGGAGATCGTCTGCTGGGGGGCCACTGGTCGGCGTTAAGCCCTCTCAGGTGCAACTGTACTTCGGATCGGCGGCGAGACTAACCCTGAGCGCACCACAAATATAAAAAGTCATAATAATCTGATTTTTTGGGCTCAGTGATCTAGAATAAAAGCTTTCATTTTATTCACACTCGGTTTGATCAAACAAACAGGCTTTTATTTTGAAATCTGAAACTTTTCTTGGTGTTTTCCGGCTAAAATAAGACAAAAACGCAGAATTGGATCATCTGATCGTGTAGAATTACTCCAGACACCTTAATTGAAACCAAAGATCTTCCTTTCTCTCTCAGCTTCGCGTTTTTGCCTGGTGGCCTTCCCCTTCATCCCTCCTCCTCCTCTTCCCTCCCCATCCTCTTTTTAATACCTGGCGCGCGACAGCCGGCCTTCACCGGTGTGGTCGCGCAGAGGTTTCACGTCGAGCCTCGAGGCTAAACAATCGGTATCGGTTAATTAAAATATAAAAGGCCTTGAGAACTTTTTAAAAGAGGCTATTTAAGACGGCCCTGCACCGCCCGTGTCTCCGCCAGGGCCGTAGTGAGCACTTCTCCTGCTTTTTATTATTTCCTCCACATTAGAATGTAAAGAGGACTAAATAGTCCTCTTGATGAAGAAGAAAGGAAAGCTTTTGTGGAATATTTCATCTTATTTGTGGGTATTTTGAAGTAAAGTGATGAATAAAAGAAAGGATATTTTAAATTTAAGGTGGAAAGAATTAAAATCGATAAAGAGCACAAATGTTCCTATCTGCAAAATAAACATTATTATTATTATTATTATTATTATTATTATTATTATTATTATTATTATTATTATTATTATTGCAGCAGCAGCAGATTAGGGCTGAGATTAGGGCGGATGCTGCAACAGATGGGAGGGAATACCGTGTCTTAATTAAAGTGCAGCAGGGTCTGGGCGTCACAGTCTGCACTTCAATAATATCAGGGAGTCGCTTTGGTTGCAGTTACAGCTGAGCAGGAGAGAAAAAGACATCCAAAACAAGACTGATTAGGGCTTGTCTCCGCTCCGACTCGGAGTTATTACTCCCCCCTCCCTCTGGCTCTGCTGGTTTGGGGTTTGAATGGCAGCAAATGTGATAGACAGCACAAGAACTCTCCTCTCCTCCTCCAGATTATCCCCTGCCCCTTTATTTCCTTTTGCTCCTCTCCAGGCTGCACCACAATCTTTGGCTTCTGCGTTTTTGTGTTAATATTGTCCAACAGGAGGCCTTTACAGTCAGTCTTAAGGTTTGTTATTAATTATATTATTATGGTCTGCGTTTATAGGCTCGAGTTAGACACGCCTGTTTAGCCTATTACTCCCTCTAGCTTTTATGTATTTATTCATTTATGTAATATTCGACCAGAAAACTAAGAAATAAAAGTAAACAAAAACACTCATCTGTTTCTACGCTATCACGGCTCCGTTCAGCTGGGCAGGACCACCCCGAGGGCGCGAGCTCAGGTGAGTTTAAGGAGAAAGGCACAAAAGCACAGATTATCCCAAAACTGTACACACTTCTTTTCTAATTTTATGTATTAATAATAATAATAATAATAATAATAATAATATAGGAAAAGCCTTGCAATGCTCATTTAAAAAAAGACTCAATTCAGTTATGCATAAAGAAAAAACTCATGCTGACCCCTCCCTCTCCTCAAAAAGAACAAAAAGCTATTTTCAAAAAGGAGTCAAAATAGTAAAATAGGGAAAATATATAAGCATTGCTTTTTAATGAAGGCTTTAGCAGAAAATTCATCGATTTCACATTTAGAATATTATTTAAAAACAATATTTCTTTAATACGAATCGAATAAATAGTAATGTTTTGAAAATAAGAGCACAACTATGTCGTTCTTTTATTTTGAAATCCTTATTTCTACGTGAAAATTATCCTAAAAGCAACAAAATTGATTAAACCCATTAGATGCGGAAAAAATGAAAAACATTACTAAAACACTATTTCCGTTTATCTTCCCAGCAGTTTTACTCTTTTGTCAAAACATTGGTTAAAAAAATCTAAATAATTAAAACATTTCAAATCAAACTTACATTTCCGTTGAAAATCCGCACTTTCATGTCAGTCAACCGAGCTGGTTGCTTCAAATAAAGGAAAAAGACAAACGGACGTGAAGCGAGCAGCAGCGCTGGTGAAAACACAAACGAGTGAAAAAGAGAAAATGTCCACCAAAAGCGTCGAAAACGTTGAAAGAAGCTCTTGGTTCCTTATTAAGGCGAAGATACAATATTTATTCCGTGTCTCCTGGGATGCTCCGCTCCGTCTATTGTCCTCCCATTCCTCAGTGCTGATGCTTAATTTTCAAAACTTCTATATTACCAAGGGACCTACGACATCAGCCGAGAAATACCCTGCAAGTACAAAATCCGTGAGCCAGCCCCGTCCGTGCAGAGGGGAGACGCGCGCGTTCCGCCAGCTTTCCACCGTATCCGAGGGGGGACTTCTCCACACAACGCGCTTTTTTTCGGAGGGATTTTAAAGGCATTTTTTATTCTTATTATCACCATTCGATCGGGCCAGGAGGAAGAACAAATATCACGGGCTACTTTGGAGAAAGCACAATGTCAGCAACCTTCCCCGGACTTGTCCACGACGCAGAGGTGGGTTCATTTATTGACTCAATATCTCGTAATTTAGGAATTTCTGTGCGTAAAGTTTAATAAATATGATGTTTGGATAAAGTGGCGCGGTTTCTTGTTCTGATCTGAGACTGAGAGGAATCCTAGCTCGTGGGCTGCTCGGGGATTAGAAATAAAAATGAGAAGTGGGATAAAACAGAGACTTTTAATGAGTGGAGGAAAAACGCGGCTCGTGAGAGTGTGATTGGAACATTTCAGGGCGGAACTCTCCGCTGTGCCTCACTCTGCTTACCTCTCATCCGCGCGAGAGCAGCGGGGCCGGGAATTTGCCAGCAGCTCGGTAATAATAATAATATATAACAGCACGCCTTTTTAACCGCTGCTGGAGTGACAGGCATGCCAAAGGGAGGGTAAAGCAGCGATTGCTCCTGTTGCAGCGTGTTCGTTCCCCTCCCAGGCGCGTGGAAATGACATCTCCTTCAGGTGGTTTCAAGTGAGGAGGAAGAGAGAAGAAAAAAACGCTTTGAGTGTGTGAGCTGTGTGTTTTGTGTTTGGGAGGCAGAGAGGAGACACCGGGCTGATGCTAAATGACACTGCTCATATATTTTCCTGTCTCTTTATTATCTTCCAGATACGTCACGACGGTTCAAACAGCTACCGGCTCATGCAGCTCGGCTGTCTGGAGTCGGTGGCCAACTCCTCGGTCGCCTACTCCTCCTCCTCGCCGCTCACGTACCCGGCTCCGGCGGGGACGGAGTTCGCCTCGCCCTACTTCTCGGCCAACCACCAGTACACGCCCCTGCACCACCAGTCCTTCCACTACGAGTTCCAGCACTCCCACCCGGCCGTGGCCCCGGAGGCCTACGGGCTCAACTCGCTGCACTCGGGCCAGTACTACCAGCAGATCCACCACGGAGAACCGGCGGACTTCATCAACCTGCACAACGCGCGCTCGGCACTCAAATCCTCGTGCCTGGACGAGCAGCAGCGGCGCGAGCTGGGCTGTCTCGACGCTTACCGGCGCCATGATTTGTCGCTGATGACGTCACATGGCTCTCAAGCCTACGGCGTCGGTATGCACCACCCGGACCAGCGGCTGCTGCCCGCCGCCGGCCTGGGCCTCCCTCCGCCCGCGGCGGACGACCTGCAGGTACCGGCGGCCTCCGTCTCCTCTCACTGGACCCAGTCCACCCAGTCCCACCAGTCTTCCTGTCCCTGGCCTATTACTGACCCCCCCCCCCCCCCCCCCCCCCCCCCCATATAGCAGCCGCATCACCAATTCTAAAATATTGGAGAAAGACAGCACCAGCTGTCTGTGTGTCTGTCTGCCCCCTCTAATCCAAGACATCACAAATCCTCACTGCTGCTTCCCTCTTCTCTGCTTTAAAATAACTGGAAATGAGCTGAATTTTATTTTTATTTCCAAAACGTGAGAGTACAACGAGCTAAACGTCACGTGCACGCGGCCTCCTGCCTCTAAAGGTTAATTGACTGGCAGTCTATACAGCCCTTTTGTCAAAGCCTGCCTTTATTTTCCCACAAACACCAGATTTTACATAATTCCCTTCCGAGTAAAGAAATGGCCGAGATGAAAAAAGGATTCGCACGGTTCTTTAGTCTGTCTGCGTGTGTGTGTGTGTGTGTGTGTGTGTGTGTGTGTGTGTGTGTGTGTGTGTGTGTGTGTGTGTGTGTGTGTGTGTGTGTGTGTCCGGCTGTGCGCTAGAGCAAAGAAAAGCCGCTGGTTGCTCTATTCTCCGGTAAAGGGCGGATTAACGGATCGGGGTTGGGGACACAATGCGCAGCTCGAGCACCATAAAGCACCGTAGTTTATCCAATTACCGACTTAACGTCAATCAACGTTGTTACTTATGCAGCGACATCTGAGCGGCTTTAAAACGCGACTCTATAGTTAAACACAGTTTAACACACTCCACACATCATTTCAGTCGCGTTAACTGTTCCCCGATCAGCCTTAACTCTCTTTTACTCGAGTTTAAAACACGCAGACGCGTTCAAATGTTATATATTGTAAAGCAAACGGAAGTAAACAAAAATATGGTGTTAATTTAGCTGCAAATAATATTCTTGCTTTATTTTAAACGTGTAGAAAATTCATTTAAAATAAATAATTCACTGAATTATTTTTTATTTGTGGTTTAATTTCTAAAATATATTTTTATTTATAAAGACAATTATTAGAGAATGTTTGATTAATTAAGACCCCCCCCCCCCCCACACACACACACACACACACACACACACATATATATATATATATATATATATATATATATATATATATATATATATATATATATATATCCTTTGCAGATTCTGGGACATGAAAGTTTGACCTTTATAGAGGAAAGAAAGGAGCGGCCCGTGAACCTGAGCTAGCACGAGGCGGATGTTTGAACGGGAACAGATGCGCCTATGGTCTCGTGCAGCCCGGTCGCATCTTTGAGCGCGTTAAAGAGATTTTCATGCTGAACAAAAGCAGCTGCCACACCTTTCCCTCGCCGCTGAGGCTGATTCATGCAGGAGCTCCGCGTTTTGTATATTGATTCTATAATCACTTTAGCTTCGGAATAAGAAGAAAAGAAGCAGAGCAGGAGCTGGTTAAGAAAGAGCTCCAGCTCCTCTCCACCCAGTTTATTTTAATCAGGCGGGGGGTGCTTAGGCCCGGCCTCGAGACTCACACGGAGGATTAAGTGTTTTCTGAATAAAACGCGCATGTTCTTCCTTACTTAGTGACATTGTTGATAGCACGCGAGTCTGATCCAGACTCAAAACCCCGGCCTCGGTAACAGGTCTCCACACATGCACGCATGCACGTGTGCATGTGTTGCATTTTGTGCACAGTGATCCCAACCGGTCTGATTTCTGTGTCTGGATGAGTCGCGCTGTCCTCGCCTGCAGCCTTTACATTTATAAGCTCGTTTCTGGGTGAACCGTGAGCTGCATCGTTTATTCTCACTCTGCCCTCAATTTTGCTCAAAGCCTGCTAAGTAGTGTACACTTTCTAACAAAATGGCTTCCTTCCAACTCTGGAAATTAGCTCCGAGAATATTGTGCATGAAAGTTTCGCGTGCGTAAAAGACGCGTTAATGGTTTAAGTTGGTACCTTCTGAAGATGCAGGGACTGTAAAATGATTGACAGCAAAGAAAAAATCATTACATATTTTCTGTTATTTATTTTTATCTTGTTGCAACCAAAAGCTGCAAGTTGGGCCTTTATCAGACTGATTTCTGGAGCTAAATTCGCAAGTTTCCCATTTTTTTAAATTCAACACCTTAGAAAAAACCTAGGTTAAATTCTAACATTTATTGCCTAAACCCTGTTATATTGTCACCTAACGAGTGCATCTCTCTGCAGGGCTCTGTGGAGGCGCAGTGTGGGCTCGTTCTGAACGGCCAAGGGGGCGTCATCCGGAGAGGTAAGGGCCCCCCACTCCTGTTTTATTCCCTCTCTTGTTGCACCGGAGGCCGTGAAAACTCACGGCTCAACACGACAGCGAGCAGACAGACAGACAAACAGGCGGAACACTCCTCCTCTTGTCTGCTGTCAACATGTTACACCAGCAACGGGCCGCGCGCTCTCCCCTGTTTTACGCACGCACCCATCCCCACTTCCACGGTGTCACTCAGCACAGATACACTCAAATCCACCAAACAATTAAAAAATAATTAATTCTCAACACTGCGTCAGTCGGACGCAGAGAAATCTACCTTTAAATTGACTAAATTAGTGAATGTTTGACCAAAAACATGTGAATTATTAGATTATTGCGATTAAAACTGACAATTAAATACAAAACCTGCATTATTGTTGTTGTTATTAAATATGCATTGAATTAAAGGTTATTAGAATTCATTAGAATAAGCAGCATTTATTTGATTATTTTGTTTTTTATGCAGCTCGCATCGGTGTTTGTCTGATGAAGGCGTTTGAAGACGACTCTGCGTTTAGAATCACGTGACCAGACCCTGATAATTTGGGTTTCAACAAGCTGCGGATATGTATTTTTCTATTTTTTGCGCCTTCAAAGCCTGCTTGTGTGTGGGTTTTTTTTCTGAGGGACTTGTGCGCAATTTTGCACACAGGCGGAGGAAGGCTGAGTCTCGGCTTTAATTTTTCATCAGCCCTGCCTAGGTGTTGGGGCTTTTCTCTCGGATTGACGCGGGAATCCCTTCGCCATCACTTTCGGTTAATGGTGCGCCGTATTTGGCCCTGAGCTCAGCCGCTGCAACCATCACAACCAATAATCTTTGCTTTACCTCCCGCTCCCGTATCGATAGCTTCTCTCGCCTCGGGCGCACGCTTTGATATGCTAATGCGGAGCGGGGCCGGATTCAGCCGAGATCATATTAATGTTGTTCTTTCTGACTGCGGCTTTGGCGGCATGAATATTCACATAACCCTTTTCAAAAGAAAATCACTCAAGAAATGCGGATCCTACTTAGGAGTCGTCGTTTGTGTTTTTAATCACCCTGCTCTCCCTTTTTCCAGTTCAGCTCAGAACAGCAGCCCGCAAAGATCAAGATGATCCGCCAGGCGCGTGCCCGCTTCCCCCCACCCCACCCCATTCATGCACGCTCCTCTTTTCTTGTCAATACGTGGGCGGGTATTATTTTGAGCTCTTAACGTTGTTGTTAAAATATGAGGAGAATGGCATTTGGCCCTTGTCTCTTTTTCTTTAATTTTCGTGGCAAACTCGTAAAAGGCGCTTGATTCTGCGTGTGATCCCACCCGCCGCTCGCGCCGCAGCCCGAGGCTACTCTCCGTTGCTTAAATACCGTTATCGCCTCTGGGCCCGCGCGCTCCACTGACTGCACTACCGGCAATAGCTCTTTTCGATTGCCCTTGGCAACATAAAATACAAACTACTTTGAATCAAAACATTTTTAGGGGGATTAATATGATGTGAACCCGCGGCTTTCAGAGCGCGCGACAGGTGTGCACGTCTTGTGTCACTTTAGGTGCAGACAGCATGAGGAGCTGGACGTCACCTTGCACGTGCATTCTTAACGAACAGCAGCCCATCAGTCGATTCCTTCAGTTTCCGACAACCTGAGAGGAACTCAGGTCCTGCGGAACAAAGCGGTCCAGTTTGTGTCCAACTGGTCTTTGTTTTCCACACCAGCCTGATGCTTCTTCCGACTGCTGTGGGCTTCAGGCGCTGTCCAGGTTCTGAAATAAAAGGTGCACGCTGCTGTCCATGGTGCTGAACTTGGATGACACTTTTTCTGGGGTCTAACTGCCTTCCTGTGGCCAGAAAATGAGGTGATTCCAGAACATTTCTGCTGACTGCGAATAAAACTCCCCACAAAGCAAAAAAATAAAAAAAAATAGGTTACAGCTGGCCATATACAAGCTGGTGTCCACAATGTCTCCAAAAGCTTGTCCAATCCTGGCCTGCAGCACTCTCCCTGGCCCAAATGGCATGCTTCTCCTTCATCTCCTCCCATCCAACAGGGCCTAATAAAAAACGGACTCGCCCTGCTGTTAGATGTAATAATGAGGGAGATAAATAATAAAACATAGCCTACAGAACACCAGACAAAAACCTTGCATTCCAAGCTGCCTGGGATGTTCATTCAAGTAAAAGTTTAATAAGAAAGAACAGTCAATACATATATTTATATAAATACCTAGGTAACCCTCAGGTGTGATTAATAATGAGAAACAGCCTTCGCCACCACCATCATCATCATCTACTCACACATTTCACAGGCCTCGGGTACACAATGAAATCAAGCTGGTGGAAGGATCTGAAAGAATGTTTTTGGGGTTTGTTCCTCCTGGAAGAGCAGCGCTGGCATATAAATGATTATTGAGCTGAACCCAACACGTAAATATGTGTATAGTTAACAAGAAACAGAAGAAAACACATGTAATATTTAATGTGGAGGATCATCTTGCCTGGTGACTGAAGTCTCATTTATGGCGTGAAAACAGATCTAAAAATCGCATAAATACACCAAACATCTTCTTTAGAGTTTTACCACAAAAATACTGTTTATGATTTTTGTTTGTGTGAGAACATTAGACAATTAAAGCTGATCCAAACTGCTCCTTTTAAACATGCATGCTCCAAACAGACTGGATGTTCAGATGAGTTTTAGTGGTGCTTAATTCCTGCAAATGATGTTCCTAACTACAGCTACACTCAAACATCTCAATGCATTTGGAGTAAACATTAGATAATCGTTTACTGGTATTTTTTAAATCATGGCATCATCTTTTAGTGAAATGAGCTGAAGTCACCCTCTGAAAGCAAAGGTGCTCAGTTTGAAATCTCCGAAAATAAAACCTCTGCTGAACTTTTCAAAGGATTTTGTTCCACTTTTTATAAATACTTCGATGATACTTTGATTTAGTTCTGTGCCTCTGTTTGCTATTTCATGCAGAACTCTTGTTTGTTTGAACATCCAGATCCTGGATCTTCATCTCCTTTAACCCTTTACAACCTGCAGGTCGAACTGCTAGAGCAGTAGTTCCCAACCTGGGGCCGTGATCCCCCCCCAAGGGGGTCCCCAGAAGGTTGCAGGGGGTCTCCACAGTTTTGTGTGTGCTGATTTTGGGAGGTTACCGAGACTATTGTTGTAAAAACTACATCTATAAAATCCAGTTAACACGCCCTATAGTACAGTCAGTGTAAGAGGCATAACTCTGCAGGAATTGTGTGCATGCCCGAGCTGGGGTGGGGGGGGGGGGGGTCTTGCTTTTCTTGGACAGTGGAAAGGGGGTCCTGGTAAAAAAGGCTGGGAACCGAGCTAGAGCACATTTCAGGAACAAACAAGTCTGGTGAAAGTCAGTTCACGTTCTTCTCAATACATTTGTTTTATTATACATTAAATAATAATGTATGATTAAAAAGGCAAAAAAGGAACGTTTTATTGTTTGTTTCCTGCAGCATTGACTCAACTTTGTTCTCTGGATCATCTCAATTACCCACCAGCACTCCTGTGTCATGTAACATCCACTGTGCTGAATGATTAGAATTACAGATTTTAAATTTTGCATCAAAAACCTGTTTATTCCTACCAATAAACCTCAACTAAGTTCATATCAGCCAGTTATGTTATTTACATTTCTTCAGTGAGGACTTTGTGGTGTTTCGGCCAGCAGGACGGATTATTATCGTGTCTTTGAAGGGTTAGGGTCCACGTCGAACCTCTAGATAAGACCCATCTCTTTTCTGTGTGCAGGAGGAACGTGTGTCGTGAATCCCACAGACCTGTTCTGCTCGGTACCCGGCCGACTCTCGCTGCTCAGCTCCACCTCCAAATATAAAGTCACCATCGCAGAAGTGAAACGAAGACTGTCCCCGCCAGAGTGCCTCAACGCCTCCCTACTGGGCGGCATACTGCGCAGGTCAGTGGAAAAAACTAAAATCTGAGCTATAAATAAAGCTGCAGGGATTAAAGAGACAATAAGAGATTCATAAACCTAAAGATGAATCAGGCCAATATTTATTATATGTTTTTGTCTGGAAGTGTGTCTCAGCAGAAGTTTAGGTCCAAAATATTCTCTTAAAATGAAACCCACAGGGACCGCTGGGCAGCCCCTTAGTGAAGGTTTAAGGGAAAATGTTTAAATCATTTCAGGCAAGTGGGAGACTTGACAGCAGTGTGTTATATAAGTGTGTGTGTGTGTGTGTGTGTGTGTGTGTGTGTGTGTGTGTGTGTGTGTGTGTGTGTGTGCGCGCGCGTGTGTGTGTGTGTGTGTGTGTGTGTGTGTGTGTGTGTGTGTGTGTGTAACAGTAAATGCAGAAAAACTAGAACCAAAGTGCACAGCTGATTCTGCAAAAAACAACAAATTAAAATAAAATTGAACAAATTAGCATCCTTACACCTTTTACACAATAAGCAATAATACAGAATTAGGATTAAAGTGTTAGTGAGGAGGATTTCTAAATAGAAAACATTGGTTTGGGTCTAAATTTGCACCAAGTCTTTGTGCTAATCAGATGAAACGGAACATATAGTCCCCACAGAAACTATTGCAGGCGCTGGAAGGCCAGGGCTGCACACGCCGCCATGCTCAGGGAGCCATCGGGAGGCGAGACTGGGCCAAAGCATGCCAGGATCAGAGAAACCAGAGGAAAGCAAGAGTTGCCAGCGCTGTATTATTGATGAGCTGGAGAAAGAAAGAGGAAGGGGGGATGAGGAGAGAGGAAGTAGGGAGAAAATGGCTACCAGACGAAGCATCAACAAAGACAAAAACGTTACTCCTCACACGGAGAGAAACTGAGGTGTAATAGTTGCTTCATATTCTTATTTTTAAATGCAAACACAAAGGAAACAAAACCTTAACACGCTGAAGGGAAACCGTTCATTTAAAATAGCTGAAAAGTGTCTGATGAGGATGATCCAGATGTTTTGGTGTCTTTGTGAAGCAGAAGTTGTCTGATTATGGAAGCGTTTTGTCCTTCAGAGCGAAGTCCAAGAACGGTGGCCGGTGTCTCCGGGAGAAGTTAGACCGTCTAGGCCTCAACCTGCCAGCAGGACGGAGGAAAGCCGCCAACGTCACCCTGCTGACCTCTCTCGTAGAAGGTGAGCCGCTTGCATTCACATCTTGGATTCATCCCATCCTTCCGGAGCTTATTCCGGCGTGTTTGTGTGCAGGTGAGGCGCTCCACCTGGCGAGGGACTTTGGCTACACCTGTGAGACCGAGTTTCCCAGTAAGGCGGTGGGGGAACATTTGGCGAGGCAGCACAGCGAGCCGAAAGAAACCAGCGCGCGCAAGAAGATGGTTCTGGCTACCAAGTGAGAACATTAAAATCTTAAATGTATTGTTTCCTTCTGCTTGGGTAGCGTGCCCTTTCAGATTAAAGATCTCAACTTCATTTTATTAAATTTGATTAATCTGAAGCTTCCTTACTTGATGTAACAAAAGCTGTGATTTACTGTCGTCATGAGCCTTTCTCTCCTTTTAGACTTGTGGAAATAAAAGCTCTTCTCTAAAAGTACAGCTTGTGAGATCAAGTTGTCCTTGTGTTGTTAGTTTTCCAACCAGATTTAAGTCGATGAGGATAGTCGGGTGAAGAGAGAAGACACTCTAGATTAGTGTTGGAGACAGATGGTAACCCCTCAGTCCTTCCCTTCCTTCTGTCTGTCAGGCAAATCTGTAAGGAGTTCCAGGACTTACTGAGCCAAGACCGTTCTCCTCTGGGCTCCTCCAGACCGACCCCCATCCTGGACCTGGACATCCAGAGACACCTCACACACTTCAGGTAGGACACACCTATCAAAATAAGACAAAAGAAATCACCTCCACTTTAAAACCTCAAACCAAAAAGCGCAGCTCGTTCTGCCGCTGACCTTTCGTCGCTGTTTTCCAAAGACGCAGCTGTGCGTTTTGATGCTTGGCGCAAACGGAAGCGGCCTCGTTAGCAGAAATGTCACCTTAATGGCGTCACTGAATCAGGCTAAATCAGGAAAATAAGACGAGTAAACACAAGCAGATCCGTCCTGGTTCGATGTTTGCTCAGTTTTATTATAGAAATGTAGAAGAAAGATGCAAATCAGGGAAAATAATCAAGTATTTTTAGGAGGAATTGGGACAAAATGAACCCAAAATCTAACGACAAAAGCAGCAAATCTTTCATGTTTGACTGTTGTGAAACAGGATTAGAGCTGCATTCAGAGCACCACAGTCCGCTAAAAGGCTCTTGTGTCAGGTTTCTCAGCAGGTGTGATAAAAGTGGTGAATCTGCATGGTTTCAGTACCGTAGCCACATGAGCGCTACCTCTGGTTGGGTTTGACACCGTTCTAACGACTTCCTCCCTCTCTTCCCCGACAGCCTGATCACTCACGGCTTCGGCACGCCGGCGGTTTGTGCGGCTCTCAGCACCTTCCAGACAGTCCTGAGCGAGATGCTCAACTACCTGGACAAAACCTCGAGTGGGAAAACGAGCGGACCAAACGACCAACAGATCAACAACAGCTCGGACAAAACGCAGCTCCGGAAAGCCGTCGAATCCCAGAATAAAGACGGGAAATCGGAAAAGACTGAGTAACCCCCAACCACCTGGTCCCCGTGCCTTGAAGCGCTGAATTTTAGGAGTGTGTGTGTGTGTGTGTGTGTGTGTGTGTGTGTGTGTGTGTGTGTGTGTGTGTGTCCTCTCATGCTGGATTTGTTAATCCCCACATATCCTCTTTGGGACTTATTTATTGTTATTTATTTATCTTATTTTGACGCCTGTGCCAAAAGTGACACACGGGGGGGGGGGGGGGGGGAACCCCTAACTCGTGTCACAACAAAAAGGAGCGTCGTCATGGAAACGGCTGTGATTCATCTCGGACTTTTGTTTACTTTCTCATGCTGAAAACAGGATGCACGTTGTTTTTCCAGGACACGGGTGTGAACTCAGCTAAATCTGACATTTTCGACACACTTCAGGTTGGAATCGGTGTGATTTCAGTCTGAATTATTCAACAATCTGCAAAACACAAGAAGTAGTGAACCCTCTTTTCAGCCATGACTTGCTTATTCTAGTTTGGACCTAATTATTGGAGAAATTTCACAGATTTATTCCATTTGAAAAAAATATTGTGTCTTTTTGGACATTTTATTTGGAAAATAAAACATTTATGAATGCACAAACACCTCCTGCACCAGCAAGAGCACTTATTACGTCCTTATTAGGTTCATTTTTGTTGCTTTTTCTGCAGTCAGTGCCACGAGAGCCTGTGTGTTTGCTTTGTGAATGACAGAGTGTATGTGTGTGTGTGTGTGTGTGTGTGTGTGTGTGTGTGCAACATGTGTGTGTGTCAAATGAAGAGAATGTGAGCAGGAGAGAAAAAAAGGTCCAACTCAGCCATTTTGTATAGGGTGACGTCCAAGTTGCCGTCGTTCCTCTTCCCTGTGCATGTCTGTCTTTGTACACAATCCAGATGGCAGGTTTCGGTCTCTCTGACCGGCTCGTGAACATTTGTAAAGATATATATAAATATTTAAATAACTTTTCTTGTAGGCTTTCATCTATATAAATGTTAAATCCCTTCTAAAATGCTGGTGTTCAATAAAGACAGTTGTGTTCTACAGCTTTGCTCTGACTTTATGATGTGCAAACACACACACACACGCACGCACACATGTTGTTTCCATCCAGAAACATGCAAACATTAGGAAGCAACAGAGTGAGCGCAGACTCCAATCAGATCAAAGGCGCTGAGGGTGAATTATCCGGAAGAGTTCAGTGTCAAAATTACAAAAAGCCAGAGTTCTTCTGATGTTGTGAGAGGAAGCTCTACCTACAGAAAAGTTCTAACGCTCCTTTTGTTTCACCGCTTCTCTTTCTGTTTGAGCGACTTCTGTCAGGTTCCTGTTTGTTTGTATTTTTAAAACAGCTAATGATAAAACAGAAGGAGGAGCAGCCTGCCGGCGCCTCTATCCTCGCTCCGCGGCTTCTGTTTAATATTCAGTCATTTGAAAGGAGGTCACGTTCGCTGTGAAACGAACAAAACCACACACAATCAGACAGGATGTATTTACAGTGGCGCCGGCACTGATCTGTCACCCCGGATCAGCGCACCTGGAGCCTCAGGTGAGGAAGTAATGATGGTAAAGACACATGTGAAGGAAGGAAGTGGCTCTGGTGCGGGAAACCAGCATGTCTTACTGGGCTTGTGTGGTTTGCTGACAGGTGCGTGCTGGAGGAACGTAAGCGGAAGCATTTACGGTTTTTAGCTAAACAATAAATAAATTGAAGAAACTTGACATGAAAGTGGAGCAGAAGTGGAACAAATAGAAGATTTTTTATTTTAAAGTGCTAAATAAACATTTACCCCTCAATGCTGGACAGAAATTCTTGTTTTAAATCTGGAAATGCATTTGAAGCGACTGACGCTAGGGGCAGACCGATATATCGACCTGATGTTCACCGTGTTTTTGTACATCAGCAGCAGACGATATTCGTTGTGGGCAAAGCTGATTTAAAGTCGGGCACTTCCTCGGGCAGCCCGGTGCTGTTGCAGAACTTAAATGTATTTTACGTGAAGTAATAACATCTGCATAATAAATGCTCTAAATTAACGTTATTTAGACTGTAAAGCCTAATTTATGCTTCTCCGTCAGCTCCATGAGGGAGAGACACGCACGGACGGAGACAATTTGTCCTCATACTTCCCCGTCTCCTCTAAACCCACGTTTCTCATCATTTCCGTTCACGAATAAAATGCTTGCTGCGTATCTTTTCACTCCTCCAGTCACGGAGGAAGAAAGCAATCATATTTTTTCTTTTTCCACAAGGTATTCTTCAAGCTTCTTCGTATCTGCCGCTGGATATCATTGGCTCTCTTTAAGTTTTTGAGGGCACAAGGGCGGTGCTGTAGACGACAGCGGCGTCCTGACCAATCACAAGCTTGCGTTCTCCATCTCGACGAACGGATGTTTAGAAAAGGGAGCTCAGCTCCTTCCGTCCTGCCGAGCCTGTGAGGGCTCTCCAGCAGGCTCGCCAGGACGGATAATGGCGTTGCGCGCGTCCGTCCCGACGCAGACGGAGAGGTATAAATTAGGCGTAACACTGAGCGGTGCACAAAGTTAAGACTTTGTTCAAATTTAAAGTTTAAAAGCTGATTCAGCTTCAGACATTTTGGGCATCAACTGATGATATTAATGACATTTTAGCATTAAAATAAGGTGGAAAACATCTAGATATTAGCCTGTAAGAATCCTTAGGCAGTACATATCGGCTATCGGCTGGCCATGTCTCCTACGCATCGGCATCGGTATCGGCAATGGAAAAACCAATATCGGTGGACCTCTAACTGCTGCTAAAAACTGTCATAACTGATCTCAAACTTTTAAAAAATATACACATTTATTTACTTCTTTGCATCATATTGGATCATTTATACGCTTGAATCTAAATAACTTTTTCATCACACAGGACTTCATTTAATCTTCTGAGTCCTTGATTTAAAATCTGCATCATGATCTCACTGTAATCCTCGATGAGTCTGCTCTGTTCCGCGTTAAACCGATCATGAGTTTGACACGCTGCTTTTTATTTCTGCAGATTTTTTTAACAGAGGCGACTTTAATCATTGTTTCTCCAGAAGGAGGAAGAGATGCTGAGGGAGGAAAAATGCTCTTTAAATCGGTTGTGTGAGAGCTTCTGCCACACACACAAATGCACGCGCACCCACACCCACACCCACACACACACACACACACACACACACACACACACACACAGTATAAATCAGCGCGTGCTTAATATTATTTGGTGATTGGATCCACTCGTTTCCCATAACCGCCCAGATGAGTTACCCTCACAAGGTTTTTACTAAAAATACACCCTTCAGCTCAGAAACACAGAGGTGAATTAAACAGTCGGAGGTCTCAGTGGGACCAGAACTCCTGCTGACTGAGCCCCACAGTCACGAACGCCAAACTCTTCTAACTTCTAAGCCCATCTCTGCCAGCTTCTCTCCTCTGAAGCTCTAAACCTCCTGCTCCCTGCTTCCACTCATCTTCCCGCTGCCTCTCTGCTAAAACCTCTTCCTCCACCATCCTGATCCTGTTCAGTCCCAGGAACGTTCCTGGTCCTTTTCTTCTCTGCTGCCATCCTAAACTGTCCTTGTCACACCCTGCCATCGTGCACTCACAGTCCAAGGGCCTTTTCTGTTCATTAAATCCTGTGAGAAATCGTAAAGAACAAGGACAGGATGAGCTGTTCTATGTCCGTTTCTGCTGATTTGGTTTGTTTGAGCCTGGAAGGTAATTGGATTCAATATTTGCATCAAGCCAAAATCTTTAAAAGCTATTTTCTTACTTTGTAACACATTTTTCTCAAAAAACTGAAAGCAGTCATGAATATTTCAATTTTTTTTTGTATTTTATGCAAAATTTACTCAAAATTAAAGATGTAAAACCCTAAATTAGTACAAATGACATTTTCTCATAAAATACTATATTATTTTATTCTCATTTAAACTGTCAGAGATCACTACATCTACAATGACAAGACGGTGTATCACCACTGCTTTTATCTGGTGTTTTAGCGCCACCCAGTGGCCAGTATTTAAACTGCAAAGTCATGTTTAGAATTTGTTATCCTATAATGACTATTTATGATTTTATCTGAGAGTGAAAGGCTGGGATAAAAAAAACAGATATTTTTCTAATGCATCAAGATTATATCTATTAATCACACTTTAATTTACCGTAAACACAAACGTTTAATTATAAATTATGTATGTAACAATTTATAACATGTTTTTCTATTTTATACAAAAAAATTACAAAAATTCTTTATTTGTTATTCATTGAAATAAAAAATTATAATTCCAACAGCATAAGGATCCTTGGAGTGTAATGATGTGACTGCATGCAGGAAATTCAACAGAAAACTGAGTATTGGGGTCATTTAAAGGTTAAAAACTGTGAATCTTAAACCAATTCTTGATTGTGAAATGCTGAAAGGAACTTGTTTGTGGGTGGCATCAAGTGTGTGTGTGTGTGTGTGTGTGTGTGTGTGTGTGTGTGTGTGTGTGTGTGTGTGTGTGTGTGTGTGTGTGTGTGTGTGTGTGTTTTAATGTATGCTGATACATCGTGTGTCAAAGCCCTGCAGGACAAGCAGCACCCCTACGCCTCCAGACTCCCAGACTGTCAGGACATCTGCTACTGCTGACAGTCATATGTCCTGCCTGTGTGTGTGTGTGTGTGTGTGTGTGTGTGTGTGTGTGTGTGTGTGTGTGTGTGTGTGTGTGTGTGTGTGTGTGTGTGTGTGTGTGTGTGTGTGTGTGTGTGTGTGTGTAAGATGGGTGGATCTTTGGCAGCAGTTCGTTGCAGAAATTATGGGAACAGACGTTCTTCTTAAACATTCATGCCTCCTATGCTCAGTGTCCCTTTTTTTTCTTATTATTTAAAATTTATTTCAGAAAACTTTAATCAGCGAGCAAAACCAATATTTCAGCATGAAAATATATTTTCAAAGCTTCAATTATGCCGGGTCGTAGATTTTTAAGATAAAAATGTTGCTTTTGAACTAAAAGTGCATTTTTTGTAAAGATATCTCCTCCCACAGACCTATTTTTATGTTTCCCTGCCTTTCAGTGAAAAAAACTTGACTTTATTTAACAGTCATCAAAGTTTGCAGCAAAAATAATCTGAAGAATCCCACTTCTTAGACAATTTCTGATGAATGGGTGTACGTGCAGTAAGAGGACGCTAGGGGGAGCCAACTGCACAGTCACAGGTTCATGTGCGTTTTTATTATTTATGTTCTGCAGCTCTAAGAAAAGCCACTGAATGGTGTTGTAACTCATTTACGATCAAATTATCTTAAAATATAAAACTAACGCATATTACTGACATTTAAAAACGCGGTTTTGATTATTTCTTTAATTGGAGACAAATAGTTCATAATCTCCACATTTATTATGAAATGATGAAACAGGAAGTGATGCAATTCCATTTTATAGATGTGTAATACAAACCAACCATGACCTTACATTATAATTTAGCCAATTATTTTATTTCAACATGCTTATTTATTCGTCCTGCTTTACTGATGAAGACTTGTGATTTAAACGTTTTTTTTGGCAAAACATGTAAAAATATTTAAGGATTTTTTAAAAAAATAATGCAACAAGTTAAATCACTATTTTGTAATATATGATGAACATTTAAAACATGTAGCTCCTCTGTTCTATTTTTGTCTCATGTTTGAGCCAAAAGGTGGTGGGATATAAATAAAACCAACAATTTTAATGTCTGTTCTTAAGAATTAAAGACTAAATAAGCTTAACTTATTGCTAACTTTATATTTAATCCCTCAGTTCATGCATTTAAATGAGTTTCTTTAAGAAAACAACAATTTAAATAAGATGCATAAAATTAAAATGATCCCATTTGTATGAGCCTAGAATAAAACAAGCAAATGTTTGGATTTTTTAAAATAAAAAAAACATACAAAATGGAGGAATCACTGAAACTTTAATAACAAATGCCTTCCAGCTACTCTAAATTATGTTTTTTTCTTTTAATGTGGCAAAACAAATATAAATGCTGTGGAATAAACTCCCCTTTATGAACTTTATTAAGCCCAAACGTAAAAATGCATCCTACTTTTGGAATAACTGCACTAAACTACAATAAAAGAACATTTTTTCAATTTTTCCAAAGATATTTCAGAATAAAAGCAGCACTCTGGTTGTCATCTGGACACTCTCGTTCCTTTTAAACATGCATAAATATTTTTGCACAAAATCTATCAGAATTTCCAAATTTTTGAAAGCAAAGAAATTGTTTAACATGTGCAACCACGTTGATAACACTGACATTCGCATGAAGAATGAATTTTATCTGATTATCTTCTCCTTTTTGCCCAAACACTTAATAAAAACATCATTTGTGCGTATTTGTTCGGGTGTGAACAGCATGTTTTATTAACCGTAATTATTGCACAGATCCATGATAAATAAAACATACATCCTCTTTTCTTATTTGCTGCTCCTATCAGGCAGCCTGCTGCTGTCAGATCGCCCTGCAGCTCCTTCTCACAGTGGTGGAGTCCTTCCAGGGGTTCCCCATTCACAAAGCCTGCCTGCCTGAAATCAGAGGGCGGAGGGAGAGGAGGGAGGAGAGAGAAAGAGAGTTGAGGCATCTCTTCCTCACTTGACTGCATTCGGTTTACCGTCACCGGAGAAGCGACCATGCTGTGGAAACTAGTTGAGAATGTCAAGTATGAAGATATTTACGAGGTAATGTTCTCCTGCAGCTGTTTGTGGTGTGTGTGTGGGGTGTTAAAAATGCAGCAAGTGGGAGTTTTCTGTGAAGCTCTGGGCCCAGTTTGTGTTTTTGATGCAGTAACGGGATCTGAGTGGATTTCTGTTAGTCCTCAGATAATATAAATGTTCATAATGTTGGTTTTGTGGAGCTACGCTTTTTTATTTACTCATAAAATGTGTTTTTCTGCTGAAAAATGCATTTTAAACTTTTTGAGAATAGCATAAATTTTGGTTAAAATGTGCTGCAGCACCACAACTTCAACCGAAGATTGTTTGGGAAATTGCAGAAATCGTGAAGGAATCCAAGAAAAGACTATTTTGGACAGAAATATAGTTTTACTTTATGGGGGAGAATTAAAGAGGCTCGCGCTCAAAGCGCACCAACAGCGGCTGTAGCGCGCGAGGCCCCACGGCTGCCTTTCAGCCCGGTGGGAAGTCCGGGTCTCATGCAGCACATGGCTTTTCTCCCACGGTGCGAAGGAGGGCAGGGCAGGATGTTGTTAAACAAGTCTCTCAGCATCAAGTTCAACCGCTTGTTAAAGAGCCGTGACACCGTTCACGCGAGCCCCTCACGCGCCCCGTCGGGTCGGGTGTTCTGACTGACAAAAGGCAGCTGTGCGCCGGATCTGACGTATCAGCGGCGCTAATTTACTTAATAATTATTATATAGGCTGGAATCGTCATAATCAGATCATTAATAGAAGTGAGTGCGGCGTAGATGATGAGTGCGCGTGCACGTATGACTTCAATAAAAACAACTTTTTACTTTTGCGCAAAAATGACGTCTCCTGTTGCGCCAAATTCTGCCAGGGAAAGTCCTCTCGGACCTGCTCACTTTCTCCCGTGCTGTTCTCCATCTCCTGCAGCGCGCGCGTCGTTTCGGCTCTCCAAGGCATTTCAACGTCACTCACGGTTTCGCGAGAGCCTCCACGCTCCATGTGTCGCCAGTCCCCTGCCTGGCGCGCATTAATATTCCTGTAAGTCTCAGTCATGAATAACAATTACACCGGATACCGGGGGTAGAGGCGGGAGCTCCTCGGTGCTCACAGTCATAGCGGCGGCAGCTCGGGGCGCAGGAAGGTTCTGAGAGGAGTTCTGCTGAACGGGCCTGCCTGCAGACACCAAGGTTCTGCTTTGACCTGGAATGCGTTTGTGTGTTCCATTCTGAGTCCGCTCGGAGCTTCCAGATGTTGGTTCATCCCTACTCCACCGGGGTGAGTTTTCTCTGTTGGGTGAGTGTGGGGATGTTGCTGGGGGACACCTTAGACGCGCGTTTAGCAGGTTTTCCTTCGGGCTTTTGTGTTTTTGTCCAGGAGCTCCTGCTCATTCGTTCCCGGAGGTGTCATCATAAAAACGCAGCTTTTATTTCTTTACTTTCATTATTTCCTTTTCTCTTTTCTGAAGGACCGGCATGACAGCGTCTCGAGCCACAGCTCGCGCCTGTCTCAGCTGGGCTCCGTGTCTCACGCAGGACCCTACTCCAGCGCGCCGCCGCTGTCTCACGCGCCGTCCTCGGACTTCCAGCCGCCCTACTTTCCTCCGCCGTACCAGCCGCTCGCTCACTATCAGAGCCAGGACCCCTACTCCCACGTAAGCGACCCGTACTCCCTCAACTCCCTGCACCAGAGCCAGCAGGGCGCATGGGGCGCGCGCCAGCGGCAGGACGCCACCGGGGACCGGATGGAGAGCTCGGCTCTACTAGCGCAGCCCCGGGCCTCACTACCTCAGCTGTCCGGGTTAGACCCACGGCGGGACTACGGAGGCGTGCGGCGGCCGGATGTGCTTCTTCACTCCGCTCATCCGGGACTGGATCCCGGTATGGGGGACGGGCTGCTGCACGGGCTTCACGGTATGGAGGATGTTCAGGTAAGGGAAAGGTAATTGTTGCCATTTGCAGACTGAGTTCAAACAAACAGACTAATTCAGAGCTCCTGGACGTTTTTAACGGAATTTCTAATTTAAACCGGAGTTATTAAACTTATGTCATATTTTATGACCATATATTAATTATAAACCCTATAATTTTAATTACTGTTATTTAATCATAAAACAAACGCCGAGACAGACTAAGACGGGGGGTGGGTGGGGGGGGGGGGGTGCAGGTTTCTTAATTTGCCCCGCATATTTCACGCATCTGTAAGGGTTAAGGTGCAGCTCACCCAGGGCAGGACGCACAAGGCCCGCAGCTAAACGCACCTTCTTCTTTTGAAATTTAAAAGTAATCTCAGATCACTATTACAGATGAACTCTTTAATGAAGCACCAATACATTTATTTTTGATTTTCTGCATTTTATTCATTTACATTAAAAAAACTAATGAAGTAAATATAATATTATAAAGGCATTCCGATATTTAAAAACATGTTTTCTCTGGTGGATCCAGACATAAGAACCTAATTTTTACATTTAAAACATAAACGAGTTTAAGCAACATTCACAATAGATTTTGTTTTTTTTCTGACCAACCTGGATTTATAACTTCTAAAAAATAAAGCTTAAAGTGTTTTTTATTTTATTTTATTTATCGTCCTAAGCCACAAAAGACGTGGAGTGAAACGGGGTTTATGCTCAGCTGTGGGATTTCATCTTCTCGTTTCCCTTCAGGGCAAAACCATCACGAGCTGTTTGTCATCTAACCTCCACAATAGATTCTCATTTCTGCCTTTCTGTGTCCGGTAGATTTATTAACGCCACACGCTTTTATTTATCTTATTGTTGTTATTATTATACACTGACGTATTTCTCAGTATGTTTTAACTGGATAATGAAATCTGAACCAGGCTGGACAAACTTAAGGTGATTTAGTCTGCTTGTCTTGGATCGATGACTTTGTGTGTAATTTTGCATGACGCATCTGTAATGATTTACATTTATCTTGGTTCTAATAGACCATCGAAGACACGAATGGGACGAGTTTATTGGATCAATCTGTGATCAAGAAAGGTAAAAAAGCTCTCTTTTTTCCCCCACACATATTTTGTTAAGCTGTTTGGACACGTTTTACGCACGGGATCGTCAGGAATTACAGGAGTAACAACGCACTGAGGATGGGTCCGAGTGCATCTCCGGTTCAGACTCCCCTCCTTCCCGTTTCCTCCCCCCTCCAGCTTTGATGGTGCAGGGTGGGGAGTTTGGAGCCGAGTTAACGACCCCCGGTCTCCTGACTGGCAGGCCTCGGTGATGATGTGCGCTGATTTAGTTCCGGGATGTTGAGTGACTGCACTCCCCGCGGGGCGTTTAAGCCGCTGATGTAATAAATGGCACCGCTCACGGAGATCTCGTGAGCTCGTTTAGAGCTAATCTGCGGTATTATCCCCCGTGGAGCCATCAAAACAGAGCCCCCTCGCGCCGGCTCCTTTACGCACGCATGAGGACGGCTGGCTGGCTTCATTAAAAAAATAAAATAAATTAAAAAAAACTAACGCCATTAGCGCGTGCGTTTGGACTTCCAGAGCTGCTGGTGGGAAGACGAGGAGGTGGTTAATGCGATTTGAGCACGTGAGCCAATCAACAATCGATAACGCTGTAATGAGAATGTCGCGCAACATTAAATAACAGTAAATGCAGGCACGTGGGCGCGTCGTTAGGCCAGGACCGCCCTCCGCGCGCGTGGCTTTAAACCCAGACTTTCTAGGGTCATATTATTATTATTATTATTATTATTATTATTATTATTATTATTATTATTATTATTATTATTATTATTATTATTATTATTATTGCTGTTGTTATTTTCTGTTTCAGTGCCCATGCCGCCTAAGAACGTGGGCTCTCTGATGCTCGGGAAGGACGGCCTGATCGGCGGGGTGACCGTTAACATCAACGAGGTGTTCTGCTCGGTACCGGGCCGCCTGTCGCTGCTCAGCTCCACCTCCAAGTACAAAGTGACCGTAGGGGAGGTGCAGAGGAGACTGTCTCCACCCGAGTGCCTCAACGCCTCCCTGTTAGGAGGCGTGTTGAGAAGGTGAGGCATCATGACGCACAACTTTAATCACCTTGATAGACTCTGACTTTTTCCTTTTACATTTTACTTTAGCCGACTGTATTATGTCCAAACACCACTTTAGAGCTTCTGAGTGGTTCTGTACTTTTGAAAACTACATTTACTAGAACATATTCCTTTCATTTCCACAGAGCAAAGTCTAAAAACGGCGGCAAATGCCTGCGAGAGAAGCTGGAAAAGATTGGACTGAATCTTCCTGCTGGGAGGCGCAAAGCTGCAAATGTCACGTTACTAACATCTCTGGTAGAAGGTGACTGATCCATAAATATACATATTTTTATTTTTAATTTACATCTTTCCTCCTCGTCCTAGGTCAGAAATAAAGAAAGAGTTTTTTTTCTGAGTTTACCTGTAACTGAAATCAACATTAAAGTTTTTAAAGGTCATTAACTTCAAACATATGGTTATAAAAGTCAGCTATGATATACATAGTCATTGAGACAGTTGTGTGTATTTATGCTCATAAAAAATAAAACAAATAGAAAATAAAACATGATGGCAGTTGCCTCTTCCAGGCAAACAACGCATTTATTAACCACAAAGCTATGTTCATTATAGTTGAAGAAGCAAATTTAAAAGGTTTTAATACATTTTTGGGTGCAGAGAGACGTGAATGTTCCCTGTTTCTGATTCTGACATCATCCTTATCCTCTCAGGTGAGGCGGTGCACCTGGCTCGGGATTTTGGCTACATCTGTGAGACGGAGTTCCCCACCAAAGCCGTGAGCGAGTATCTGAACCGGCAACACGCAGACCCCAACGAGCTGCACACGAGGAAAAACATGCTGCTGGCCACGAAGTGAGTTCCCCTCAAACATCACACACTTATGATCAGATCAGATTAGTCAGGGTTTAATGAACAGATTTATGTGAGTTTACAAAATAAAAAACAAGCTGCAACATTTTAAAGCTACAAATATGAGAAAAAGCTGTACTCATGTAAAATATCCACTAAATCACATTCTTGCTTAAATTGCATTCATCCCCTGCAAATGTGGTCAATTTGAATGAATTAATTTATTTTTGATTGTTTGTTTTCTTGCATGGGGAGCTGATTTGAACTGTCTGCTGCCACAGTGGACGACATTTAGGAGGAAATGTGGAATTTTCTTAATAAAACCCATTGAACTCAATATGAATCTAGCCTTTACTGTTTATTAAACCAGGGGTGGGGAACCCTGGTCCATCGAGGGCCGCTATCCAGCATATTGTAGTTTCAACCCTGCATCCTCACACCTGATTTCAATCAGCAGGTGATTAACAAGCTTCTGCAGAGCTTGATGAGCTGCAGAACAGGTGAATCAACCACTAAATCAGAAGTGTTGGAGCAAAGACACGCAGGACACCGGTCCTCGAGGACCAGGGACCCCCACTCCTGTATTAAACGGATGAGAATTGAGTTCAAACTTCTAGGGATTAAATATAAACCTTTATTGGGGTTACAACCAAAGACAAAATAAACATACATTTTCTAATTATTTACAGCTGCCTGAAGAATCAGAAAAGCTGCAGCACTGATGATTCTTACTCTAATGAAACAACTTCAGAAATCGCCCCTTTGCTTATAATAACGAATGGCTGTGAGACTCAGGATCTGGTGTGTGAGCTCAGCTCATGAGACTGAATAGGAGCAGGAATGTTTGTATAAATCAAATAAAAGGAGGATTTATTTGTAACTGAACAAAGTTTTCAAATGCTAATTAAAACATCATTATAGTTTATTTGTTGCAAATGTTAGGGCTGTAAATGTCACAAACATCCCTTCAGGAGACTTTTACTTTTAGCTTGCATAAATAGTGTTGGCTGCTGGCCTTCAACTAGATAAATCATTTGTGTGTGTGTGTGTGTGTGTGTGTGTGTGTGTGTGTGTGTGTGTGTGTGTGTGTGTGTGTGTGTGTGTGTGTGTGTGTGTGTGTGTGAGAGAGAGAGAGAGAGAGAGAGAGAGAGAGAGAGAGAGAGAGAGAGAGAGAGAGAGAGAGAGAGAGAAAGCAGTGTGTTTGGCGTTGGATGTTTGATGGCCAGATTCAAACCTGTTTCTGTGTGTGTGTGTGTGTGTGTGCGTGTGTGTGTGTGTGTGTGTGTGCTGCCTGTTAGAAATTCATTATTTAGCAGTGGAGTGTTTCAAGTCGTCAGAAAACAACAGCGAGAGCTCTGAGTGTCGCCCGCGGTGGCGGCTTCGCCTCTCTACTCCCTTAACCCCAGCTGGGCTCGGCCTGCACAGCCTGTCACTCATTTAGCTCTGCCCTTAGGCCGCCTTCAGTGTGCGTGTGTGTGTGTTCTGTGAGCATGAACCTGTAACAGTAAGGAGTTTCTTGAATACAAAATGTGGGGCCTGGAATCAGTGAACATAAAATCTGGGTGAAGATGGGATTTCTTTTCTTATACCTACGTTTTATTATAAAATGGCTAATTTACCTTATTCTCCATATATTGCATGCTCTTATTGTGAAAAGCCTCAAATACATCTTTATGATGAATTTTTCACTTTTCTTGTCTTTAAAAGGGCTTTTCAAAAATAAATGTGGTAATACTGAAGTAATATTATTATAATATTATTTAACCTATATAATTAAATAAGAGGGGCCTATAGAAGAAAAATATTTATTTATGTTAGAGAATATCACAAAAACTCACTCAAAAATCTAGAATTAAATATTTAACCAAACTGGGGAAAATACTGATAATTTTAAAGGAAATAAAACAACAACAACAATAATAATAATTCATTATGGGGGACATTTTATGCAACACAACAATGAATACCATTTTATAAGTAAATATTTCACAGTGTAGTTATTAGTGAAAGTACAAAGTATTTTAAGTCTAATCTGCTGATATTTGAGACAGTGAAACACAGAAAATCGTGGGGGGGGGGGGGGGGGGGGGGGGGGGTCCCCAGGATGATGAGCTCGTGACGAACTGCTGATTCCTTACCAACAGAACCAGATGGTCCATGTGAAGGACTTTACATCCAATTCTGTTATGTATAAGGCAGGACAGAGCTGATTGGTATCGGCTTCCAAAGCCAGAATTGGTTCGTTTTTGGGGTGCAGTCATTAGTGGATGGAAGTGCAACATTTTCCTTATTTTTAGAGAAACTCACTCATTTTGTATTTTTAAGATTTTTGCTCTGCTTGAAAATATAACATATACCTAAAATACAGGTTAAACAAATTGTTTCATAGTTAGACTCTAATTTCTTTAGATTCTGTATTTAATTTAACATATTCTTCATTAAAATGGTTCAAGCCAGAGGTGTATCCTGTTAAAAGATCATATTGCTGTCATTTAAACCTAAACCTCAATCACCCTGATTGGGTTGAGTGCATGACCGACTTCAAGTAACATTATCTCATTGAAAAATAAAAAAAAGTGCAGTAATTAAATTTAAATCAAATGATTGGCCTTAAGGAAGCGTTCCATCCTGGAGGACGCTGCCCACTTTGCCTGAGTGGTAATTATGGAGGTCTATATTAGGCGTCAGTCTCTCCTTTCATAAGATTCTTAAAGAGCAAGTCAACCCCTACCAGAGTCTAACTCCACTCCCACTTCATGTTTGAAAAATGCAACAAAAGCTGTTGCCCGGCAGACCGAGGGGGCGGAGCTGCTAACAAATACACACACACACAGGCATTGTGACATCATAATCTACCAGTTTACATCATAGCACACCTCTTAGCCAATAGCGGTGGCAGATTTAAATTAGAATACAGAGCAGTTTTTACCTGACAACGGCACAACACTGCCAGTTTTAGGCAGAATATTTAAATTTTAATTAAGATGCACTGAAGTGCCAAATTATTGACGGCACGTGTCTGCAGCACGATTAGACACTCGTTTCTTTAGTTTATCAGCAAAAAAAAGGTTATTTGGGGTGACTTGCTCTTTAAGGAAACAGTGAATAAACTATTGAGTAAGCAGACATCTACGGGGCATGTTGGGGATGAATGAGCTCCCTCCTGATGTTTTGCTGTCTCTTCGTCTGCAGACAGCTGTGTAAGGAGTTCACAGACCTGCTGGCCCAGGACAGGACTCCGCTGGGCAACTCCAGGCCCTCCCCCATCCTGGAGCCTGGCATCCAGAGTTGCCTCTCCCACTTCTCCTTCATCACACACGGTTTCGGCTCACCCGCCATCTGCGCCGCGCTCACCGCCCTGCAGAACTACCTCACTGAGGCTCTCAAAGGACTCGACAAGATGTTTCTCAACAACCCACCCAACAGCCGGCACGGGGACGCGGGCAACAAGGCCGGCGACAAAGAGGAAAAACAGCGGAAATGAGGCCAGCGCTGAAGGGGAGTGATGGAGAGTCGGGGGGAGGCACTGACAGAGGCGTTACACAGTTTCTTCTAGCTTTACACCGCCGCTACTGCCCTGCCGCGCACAAGGCTGAGGTGGAGGAGGACGAGGAAGGCTTGGTGGAGAGAAAACAGCACCCGTGGGCCAGTGTCAGAGAGCACAGAGGGATTTTTCATCTGTGTTACGTTCTTTTCATTCCCCTGAGGACATGCTGGTTACTGTGTTACATCCATTTTGCTCCCCCCGCCTGCATCCTGTGAGAATGAGACGCTGTGAGCAGCCAGCAAACAACATTGTGTCTGAGTGCCTGAGCGTGTGTGTGTGTGTGTGTGTGTGTGTGTGTGTGTGACAAAAAGCATTGTGGGTTTGGACTTTTTTGTGATGAGCATTGTATTCAGTGAAACAGGCTTGTCTGGTTATTTAACTAACGTAAAAGAAGGGCAGGTGTTACTTTGTGTGTGTAAATATTTATTTATGACCATTTAAATGGGCGGTTGTTTAAATAGGTGCACCGGGATTTGGGACTGAACCTATTTATCTGTGATTTGACCTTTGTGAGCCAGAAGGGCGGGACAGGACTCATCAAGTGGGTTTTTTCTTTAAGAGCTGTTGTCATGGTGATGATGATGATGATGGGTAGACATGCTTCTAATTGTCCAGTGATTTCATTTCTATCATATTGATAATAAACCGTGTGTTTTATTATGCGAGGAGTGCAGCCTGCGCCTTTCCTCCGGGGAAATCATCCAGCGGAGTCTGACTAAACGTCAGAAGGGTGGGGGGGTCAACTCGTTTTCAGATTCATCCGCTGAAAAGGTGTCATGTAAAATTATCGAACACCTGTAAGAGGATGCTTTTATTTACGAGGGCTTAGAAGGAAAGGTTGTGTAGCCTGTGTTGGATTTTCATTGTGAGGAATTTTAAAAAATCACTTCTGTCATCATAAAACGCAAACTTTATGTTTACAACACCGGCCAAAACACACCCTGGGTGGTTAGTTGTACTTATGCAATGAAACTCTGCTCCTAATGATAGAAAATTATTTTATAAAGAGAAAATTTTAGATTTATCTATTAAAAGAATTCAGTTTGGAAGTAAAATGTTTTGCCTAAGTAACTGAAATTGTAAGAAGTTTTTAAATGTCATCAAATATATTTTAAAAACCACTAAACTTTAATTATTTTAGTTTTATTATGCTCATTTGTAATGCTTTTAAAAATTACCTTAAATGATTTTGTTTTATTCTCAGTTATTATTATTATTATTATTAATATTATTATTATAGGGATGCACCGATATGAAATTTTTGGGTCGGTACCATATCCAATATTAATATTTGGGATGCACAATATATCGGCATCAATATCAGTTTCGGCAGATTTTAGTGATTTTTTAACATATTGATATCAGTCCGATAAATAAAACTGGGCCATATTAACAACCAATATTTTTTCCATCTTGTCTCAGTTTGTTAATCAGAGGGTGAGGGGGGTGACGTGAACTTGTTTAGCCACGTGACAGTGATTGTAATCATCTCAGAACCATAAATGTGTGTGGTGTGTGTGGACATAATAATGTAAATTCAGCTTCAGTAATTTTCATTCTATACAAAATCTGATGATTTTAGAAGCATTACTGTCAGTTTATCGGTATCGGCAAATATCGGTTATCGGGCATAACAGTGAGATTAATGTCGGTATCGGCCCAAATATTTCATATCGGTGCATCACTAATTAATATCATTGATATGGCAGACAACCGATGTGTGTGTGTGCATATATACATTTCGGAGATGATTACCATCACTGACACTTGATGAACCATTACACCCCCTCACCCCCTCCCCCTCTGAAATGTAGACACAAACAGAAACAAGACTGAAAAAATATCAGTTGTTAATATTGGCCCAGTTTTATTTTTCTGACCAATGTTAAAAAATGACTAACATCATCCAGTACCAATATTGATGCTGATATTGTGCATCCTTAATTGCTATTATTTTAATTATTATTATAATATAGCCCTCTGTTTTCCTTGAGGAGATAAGTGGCTGTGTTTTCTGATCAATGAGGATCTTATTTTCAGCGTCTTCAGGCACAGAGAGGAAGCAGACTCGTGCCTTGCAGGCCACGTTCACGTGCCTGGAATCCACCGCCGCTGCGCTAATGACGAGTGAGCGCGAGACGCACTGAGAAAACACAAAGAAAGAAAGCTAATGAGAGAGAGAGAGAGAGTGTGTGTGTATCCTGCGGGTACGGCGTGACCCGTGGAGTGGAACGCGGCGTGACGCAGGTGCGGAGCTCAGCACCCGCGTGTCCGCGAGCGATTCTCGCTCAGCAACAAAAGGCAGGAAGCTGCCGAGCATCAGTGGCCACAAGAAGGACAGGTTGGCTGAGGAAACTAAATGAGCAAACAAGCCAAAGAAAACAAAACAACAAACATGAAAACAAATTAATTCAGACATGAGGATAATGATAATTAGTCGCTGAGCTGGGAAACAAGTTTCAAATAATTATTTACTTTAGATGGAAGCTTTTGCATCTTTGGTGTTTTAATCTAAACATTACCAGCAAATAATAAATAAGGTTCGAAAGTGTTCAGGTCAACATTTTTCTCTAATAGAAGATTTAACCATCTGGCTTCTAATCGACAATAAATTCTATTTTAATTGCAATGAGCGTTCTTCAAAAATTAAGATTTGCGATAAAAGAGTCACAATTTCTGCACTTTTGACTCTTTAAATTTTGATTTTCTCTTAAAACGACCCGCATGGCTGCTCATTCGAACTCTGAGGGTCAATAAATCAGATTTATGCGGTTTAATCTTTTAACTTTAGCATCAATCAGTGTTAAAAGTGGAAAATCGACATTATTCTAAGCCCAAAATGCATTGTCTGCTGTGAGGAGACAGACTAATGCTGAGATTAGACATCTAAAGCCTGCAGGTTCACAAGTCGCTGTAGCTGACACCCATTCTGTTTTATTCCTTAAAGGTATTTCACTTCACAGAAGCTTGTGTTACAATAATATTGATGTTGAAACAAAGGTTTAGGTAAAAATAGACAATATTTTATTATTAGTTCACTTGAAACAACGAGATTAGAAACAACAATGCAATAAATTTGCTTTTTCAAATGCAATTGATTATTTTATTGTTGACATAATCCAAAACAAACACAAATCTGACAAAATATCTTTTCAAAGTCACAATTAACTCATCATTAAACTAAAAATGTTTGATTACAGGCAAACATGGACGATATTGGTGCTTTCTTCTAATGATCAGTCTCCCACCTCAGTTGAGCACATTACACTCTTCTAAAACTAAATCAATAATAAACAAAAGTAAAACAAACTCTTGCAACAGTGGATTAAAATCCAATATAATCTGGATAGAAGGCAGATTAGCTCAAGGTCAGATTTAAAAACATAAATTTGAAACCCAAGTTTATTGTATTAGCCCAAATGATCAGTTACTGTTCTGTCATGACTCTAATTTATAAACAGAAAGGAAAAAATAATCTGTGCACGAGGCAATAATCCGCAAGCTGCAGAGTTTTAACATATTAGCTTTGTGTTTGATGAATAGGTGGTAATAAGCAACATTTATGAACGTGTCACAGGTTGTTACTTTAATGAGAGGGCCGAGAAAAGGTAATCCAGTTATGAACTGAGCTCATGGAGGTGCTGGGAAACATTTCAGAGCTGGAAAGTCTGACGGTTTGTTCTATGTGTTATATATCTACGTCTGTCTGAGTGTCTGTCTGTCTTTTAGCCGGAACGTGAGCAAGCAGGCCCCCATCAGCAAAGCCCCTCAGCAATTTGTCACGCAATGGGGTGTAAAAATGCTTATCCAACGTGTACACACACACACACACACACACACACACACACACACACACACACACACACACACACACACACACACACACACACACACAGAGATATGCAGCATGCAGCATGCAAGCAAGCGAGCGCCAGTCGGGAGTAATTCCTGCTCAGGGCGCTGTGCTCCAGGCAAGGCAGGCGCGTGCTGGATATTTCATTATTCATTAATTTACTGTTTAACAAATCCTGTCATTACTTAGTCCAAGCAGCATTGACACACACACACACACACACACACACACACACACACACACACACACACACACACACACACACACACACACACTTGCAGCAGCAGCAGGGGTGTCAGGCGTGGCAAATCTGCCTGTTTGATCCCGGCCTTCCCAACAAACGCGGAGAGAGCCATGAATAATGAGAAAGGCGAAGCCTCGGCGGAACGAGGGAGCATGACACCGTCTCACAAAAAAGCCCTTCGGCGTGAAGCGAAGCTCTGCCGGGGCCTCACCAAGGGCCCGGGGTTCATCATATGAAAAGACAAAACAAACAGTTGGCACAGCAGTGATCAATATGAAAGGCAATGCTCCCCCTACACACACACACACACACACACACACACACACACACACACACACACACACACACACACACACAGAGAGAGAGAGAGAGAGACAAAAGGTGAATCAGTCATGTTTGACAAAAGATGCTGCTCTGTGTCTTTCTGCACACGGAGGAGTTTAGCACGGCTGCTGTTTACCGTTTTCTTACAGACTAATAGGATCAGGATTAACGCTCTGAATGTGTTTTTGGCTCAAATCCCCACAAAAAATATTATTGCATCTTCTGGAGTTTCCCACAGGAACACTTGCACCGGATGAGGAAAATAATGACATATACTTTGCTTTTTCAGCGTTGCTCTTGTAATTAATTAAGATAAAACATCAAGACTACAATAATTTCACCAGAACATGTTATTACAAATATGAAAATGATCCTGCACTGTGTTCTCCACTTAAACGTTTCTCTGAGCAGCTCTGTAATTAAACTCTGTGGGTGAAAGAGCATCGTCTGTGGTTTGGATGCAGCGGTTTGGAGTGAAAGCCGTCAAAGTTGTGACAGCTGAAAGATAAGACACCGTGTTCCATGGAGAAAGGACTTTATTCTCGATCTGCTGCCCTGAAGAAAGCCGCTGTCTGTGGGTGGCCACCAACTTGATGTCATTAACATGTGACATATGTAGAGCCGACTGGGAGTGGCTGCAGGCCAGTGTTTGTCTCCACCAGTGTTCTTGTGTCTGCAGGGCCGAGCAGGCTGAGTCTGGGCTTTGTCAGCACTCCAGCAGCCAGCCAGGCCGCTGTCTGCTGCTGTTGATAGTGAGCGTGTTTATCAGCATGCACGATGGCCAGCGTGTGCATTGTGGGTAGCTCAGGGCCAGAGGGGAGTAAGAAGGGGTGCTGGTACTTCAGTCAGTTAGGGGGCCCTGGCTGAATGGCTGGGCAGGGACACGGGCAGTCCGAGTCCCTTAAGGTTGGACTGAAGATGGTGAGTTGACGTGACACTGCTGCTGCTGCTGCTGCTGCAGAGGCAAGGCTGCAGCTCCAGACGGGTCAAGGTTGCACAGAGGAGAATTTAGCCACAATGCTTTTTGCAACGGACGAATGGAAACAAGAATAAAAACTGAGCGAGTGGAGCAAGGTCAGGGACATCAAGCTCCTTAGGCTTCTTGTGAAGGCAGATCTTTACCCCAACACAAACAAATGGTCATAAAGGGTCTTTGTGCTTTCTGTGCACAAAGTAATCCATGGTTTAGTGTCTACCCCATTCCAGGACGTGGGCATAAATTTGGTTTAATAAATATTC